ACTATTTGTAACTCAGTTTATTTATTTCTAATTTTATATTTGAACTCTTATAATTTTTATTTTATTGTTAAGTTAAATATCTATTATTTAAATGAACGGTAATATTTTTACGTTATAATTATATATTTTTGTTATTTTTTAATTTAATACAAATTAATATATCTAATTTTATTTAAAAATAAAGTGAAAAGAAAAAATATTAGGTTGGGTTGATGTCATGGATAAAAGTAGAAATAGAATTGGGTTGTGGGTTGTGTAAGTGGAGGAGAGAGAAATGAGTATTTTATTAAAAGAATTGAGTTGGGTTGGGTTGGGTTGGGTTATGAATAAAGATAGTCTTAAGCAAAAGGTCAAAGCTTTGAACCCCTAAATATCATTTTTCATTTTAATTCAGCCACCAAAAATATATATGTTAAAAAAATAAAATAAAAAATGAACAGCTGCTACCTAAGGAAATAAATAAAATGAAATTACACCTCAGTTGCCACCTAAGAAAAGAAAAAATATAATGAAATTACAACTCAGACTTCCGGTAAGAATTATGGTCACGAGTAATTTTCAATTTTTTTGTATAGTACTAAAATAAAAAAATGAACATTTCGGAAGACTGAAACCTGAAATTAGGTAATAACAAAGGGCAAGAAACTAATTTAGCCTGAAGGTAGTGCTTTGAAATTAAACGAGTCTGGATCGGTTTGGCTCAAACTCGACTCGTTAAAGCTCGAGTTCGACTCAGCTAGTTTGACAAACGAGTCAAGTTTGAGCTCATTTAAAACTCGTTTGGTTAACGAGATGAACTCCCCTCGACTCGATAAGGCTCATTGAGACACGAGAAGAGCATTTTTATATAATTTTTTTTTATAATTCAGCTCATTAAAGGTCGAGATCGGCTCGTTATTAGTGATAAACGAACCGAGCTATAACTCGATTTCATGTTCGTTTATTTAACAAAAACCAATCTCGGTTCGGCTCGTTAAAGGATGCAGCTCGAGCTCGTGCACCCTAAACTCGGGCTCGACTCGGCTCGTGTAGAGGACTACCTAAAGTAGATGGCATCCGTTGGAAAATGGATTAGGTATAACTCGATTTCATGTTCGTTTATTTTTATATTGTTTCCATTATTTGCGTATTATTTAGATCTTTCTTTATTTTCCTCAATCTGTCCTTCTTGGCAAACCATTACGCACCCAACTCAGAAAATAAACAATAAACTGAGATATAAATAATACAATCGTGAATATGTGATACCCACACTTAATAATAAGAGACGAGTTTGCAATCAATCATAATATCACAAGAAAATGGGAAGGATGGAGAGTTGTTTGCCCCTCACGGGCATGTTGCTGGCCGTTACATCTCTGGCCACAAACATGATTATAAGCAAAATGGCCATGTCCGATGCCACCAGCAACTTCATTCTATCTGTCTACTCCAACGCATTGGCCACTTTCATTCTCTTTCCTTGTGCCTTTCTCTTTCACAGGTTAAATTTTTTACTTGAGCTTTGTTTCATACTAAATTTGGGGGTTTTTGTTGTTGATAATTTTTTATTGTTTTTTTCCAGCAGGTCAAAACGGCCCCCTCTCACATTCCCAGTAATTTGCAGGGTTTTCTTGCTTGCTTTATGTGGGTCGGTAAATTCAATCTCCAATTTCATGACTAAAATGGGTTTTCTTGCTTGTTTCGGTTGGAGACGAATTATTGTTTGACGTGACGGTTACTGCAAAACGGGTTTGAGAAAGGGTCTTTCGGTTGGAGATGGTCTAACTGTTTTGAATTCTTTCTATTTTGGTGGGCTAAGATAAAAGTAAAAAAGTGTATGAATTTAGGCATGAATTCTGCTACCTGTAGTTGGAACAGTCACTATTTAGTGTGTAAATTGGAGGAAGTAGTTTTTGAATCTTTTAACCTACTGTTGTTGTGCATTAACGAGGAAAACATGGTAGCAATTTTCTTTTTGAGTCTGCAAATGGCAAATGCCGCCGGACACGATTTATGATTTGTTTCCGTTTAGTAATTTGGTTTGTTAACTATAACTTGTGAATTTTGTATCAGTGGCTTAGCTGATATCAGTAGCTATGCTGGCATCAAATATAGCTCCCCAACACTTGGAACAGAGTTGTTGAATCTTGTTCCCGGTTTCACTTACATTCTTGCCATCATTTTCAGGTGAGTAAATCGATTTCAGTTGCTTTCTGGATTTGTTTTGTTTTTAATCGCCGCTGTTTTGTTCTGTGGGTAGTTGGGTATATGTTTTTTTTCTTGAAGGTATGATTGATGAGTTATCAAGTTATTACAATCCGAATATTACAATTAAATGACACCATTTTTTCGCATATTCTGTATTTATTATAACTCTCTGTAGGATGGAAAAATTCAGTTTGAGAAAATCAAGCTGCATTTCAATGATATTGGGTACCATTATATCTATATTCGGGGCGTCTATTGTGACTCTCTACAAGGGTCCCGCAATCGTAAATAAGATATCAACCTTGAGTTCTTCGTCATCACAACAAAATTGGGTTCTCGGAGGAATTTTGCTCGCTAGTGCCGCTTTCTCAACTGCATCATGGTCTATAGTTCAGGTTTGATGCCGCATGAATAGTTAAACAAACTAGTAATATTAAGAGATTGATATAGTTACAATTAACTACCCAAAAAACAAGAAACCTTGAGAATTACACTTGAAGTTACATTTTGCATATTGAGCCATCCAATGTGTTTATAATGCACAAAGGGTTATTAAAAGATTAATAAATGGGTTATATGTTGTGAACCCCTGCAAAGCAGACTTGGATTCTTAAGGTATACCCTGCAGAGATGACGATAGTGGCCATTTACTGCCTCTTTGTCACCATGCAATCTACATTAGTTGGTTTGATTGCCGAAAAAGATATAATAGCTTGGAAACTTCAAACTCGGATAGGATTGCTTGCTGTGTTGTACGCGGTAAGAAAATAAATGATAAATCATTCTCAAATTCATACGGTGTAAATAACCTTATTGGTTTCACTAAATGAATGCTTATGATCAGCTTATTGAATGAATTCAGGGAATCATAAACATAACATGCAGGCTCTATATGATGTCGTGGTGCCTCTCGAGGACGGGCCCACTTTTTGTATCTCTATTCAATCCCTTGACCATTGTTATTTCAGTCGTCATAGGCGTCTTGTTTTTCCACGAAGTTCTTTATTTTGGAAGGTACGTACGTACTTCAGCGCTCATTATTTTACTTAAAACATCAAATTTCTTGCTTCGCAACAACATTGGGTAATCGAATTCGATTTTCTTTGCAGTGTCGTTGGTGCCATTATACTAGTCATCGGTTTCTATGCTGTTATTTGGGGTAAAGCCAAAGAAAGTGAAGAAGTAATTCGTGTAGAACCAAGAAGCCATGAGGTCCCATTATTGCAAGAAGGTATTGAACAAGCCTAAGACTTCTTAGGAAAGTGGTGTTTGGCGTTTGTTCCGTTCAATTTCCCATGAGTTATATATATATATATATATATATATATATGTGTGTGTGTGTGTGTGTGTGTGTGTGTGTGTTTCTTATTCATTTGCTCAGGTAGGATTTGTGATATGTGCCAAGTGTATATTAATAAATATACAAAGAATTTGGAATAAAGGATATGGGTTAATGGGTTATGCTGATATGCTGGTTCATATTTGAATATAATTTGTGTAATCACTTGAAAGAAAGAAACACTGATTCCGGCCGGCTTCGAGTTTGTGTTTTCACTCTCAATTATATGTTAAATAGATAGATATTCCTATTACCTACCACACCAGTACGAGTGAGCACAACACGTTGTAGAGGTACACCTAAACTCTTATACCAACCACACTTATAAATGGTTTTACAACCTAACAAAAAAATTAGGTTGGAATAAATTTATATTTTTTACTTTGTTTTCTCTATGCTTGTTAGAACTTTATGTACCGAAAAATCAAGATTTTCACAAAAATAAAAAAATTTAAATAACGCAGCGGAAAAAAATAAATACGAAAAATTAAAATTTAGCCTACAAGTCACTTGTAGACTAAGACGACATGTCAAAACGTTCACTAGAACAAATCGATCACAATATTTTTCAAACAATTTTAAAATATCTCCAACACGTCTAGTGAACTAAGAAAAATAAAAAAAGAGTTCGGACGAGATTCACTATATCAAATCAAACTATCAAAAAACAAAGAACACAATAATCCCAAGAGTATGACATGAGAGTAGCAATAAATAAAGCAAGCCCGGAAGATCCTTGTCATAAAAACTCCTCTTGCTTGTACGTGTTCTTCTCCAAAAATGAACTTCACGCAAAGAGAGAATAAGATGATGCATGTTGCTAAACAACTCTAACAACCTCGCACGCAACCTTTCGAACGAAAGATCCTATAGACGACGCCAAAATGATATGTTAAAACCTCCTAACTGTCTTAAATAGGCTCGCTCAAACTTCTCATCGCTGGTAGAATGCCAAGTACCTGCAAAAGCACTCACACCAGAGGGGTTTTTCAGTGAATTCTCAAGAGTATAATGGGAATATCGTGCTGAAATTATAAAGCTCACGCTTATATATAGGGGTGAGATACCTGCTTCTAGAAGGCTGCCCGATGAGTTGAGGTGGTAGCCCAAAGCCGCCCAGCCTGCCCATGTCGTACAATACACACTGGAGGTGTGTTAGAGATGGTTATGCGATATGGACCAATCATGTCATGCCACGTGTCCTTTACACGTGGAGATTTGATTCCTATGAGATCTCCTCGAAGGCTCTAATGCTCGACCAAATATAGGTCGATCTGCTAACTGCTCAAAGTCTAGGAAATGGTCGATCAAACAACCATTCATGTTGCAGGTCGATCTTCGACCAGACCCTCCAAGGGTCCAAGATCGACCCGCTCTCCATGTACCAGAATCCCCTTTTAAGTTGTCTATCAGTCTGGAGACTTTTGCTCCTATGAGTTCGACCACGACCACCCTGCTCTGATTCTGTTCGACTAGGGCGGCTTGTTCGGTTTGCCTCACCGGCTTACTGAACTAGTTTTCTCCTTTAGGTGTAGTATCCCAATTTCATTCTCTATGTTTTAAGTTATAACGTCCATTAATTAATTTAATTACTGACAATAGAATTCAATAAGTGCTTGTGATCCAAAATTAGTGCCACTCAGTTCTTAATTATTATGTTGGAAATTAATCCACCTGCAGGGCTGAACATAATAAAACTTCCCGAGCTCATTTCGGGGACGTCATCAACCTGGTGAACTGGGACATAGTGACCGTAAACAAGTTCAACTGGACATTATGTAAACAACATTATTTAACATAATACTGAGTATGCCATCCTAATTAAAATAGGAATCACCCTTGGTAAATCAAACAAATAAGTGTTGAATACATATGTCTGTTTATTGTCATACGAGTTAAGAGAATATATCAATCACTGAGGTCTAGATTATTTACTTGGCCAGTATAAAATAATTATATCTTTCGTTATTTACTTGGCCAATATAAAATAATGTTATCCTCCGTAAAGCCATTCAATATACTCAAGATGTACTAGTGCAATTCATCAACCAAAGATCAACTGAATCAAAATTACACTACAACCTTTCACAAAAAATAGTTCAACCCCGTCTATGCTGTGAATCAATTATTTTATATTTTACAAGAAACTAGAAATATGATCTTTTTATTCGACACATCGAACCATATTATCTACAATGTAAATTTTAGGAGCTTATGCTTGCATAAATAAATAAATTGTAAAAATAAATATTTGACTGAAACATACTGCTCATTTAAAATGGTATTGTCAGAAATCGAAAGTCGAGCCCTTACAATATATCCTAACAACAGCAGGATCCAGTGTCCAGATATTTCAGTTTGAGATATGAATACTTGAATGATGACTCAGTGTCATGATTTTGTTTGCGATATGAGTATTGAGATATTGATTCGTCTCATTAAAGGGTTAACTGTAGAGTTTATCCTCACTGAGCTAGTGGTTTGCTCACCACCACCTCCCCCTCCCCCTCATATTCCCCTTTTCAGGTTGATTGATGTGATATACACGGCACGATGAAGTGGCCATGGTTGATGCTTTATGACTTGAAACTAATGTTTAAGACTTAACTTACTTGGCACAATGATTTTGATTTACTTGACTTGAAATGTTTTATCCATATGGTTACTTTATTATAAGTTTGAGTTTGAGAAAATGAGCAAGTTATAGAAGTTAAGTTTTAAAGTTAAGAGTTTCGAAATTTTAGAAATGAGATAGAAGGTTCCGCAGTAGTGCCTTATTTAACAAGTGTTTTCAAAAAATTCGTACGAAAACATAGAGTTATTAAAGTATAAATATTCTCAAACTTTGTTAACGCCTTTTAAAATATCCAAATTACCCTCTAAAAATCGGGGCGCTACACTTCTTTACATGACTGCATTAGACAACCATTCAATGAACTATATGGGTTCAATGTGTTTAGCAACATGTTGACTTCTGCTTCAATAACTTAATTTAACTCCACGTAGAAGTGCCTTCTTTTCTGTTTGACTTGTTTTATCGTCGGGTCAATATTGACTCGGAGCTCGACGACTTTTGGACTTATGCCCATTGGATCGGTTGTCGAGAATGCAAATATATTTATGAACTCTCTCAGCAGAGTGATTAAGGGCATTTGGACATCCTTTGGAAAGCGGCGACATACCTTAGTAAGGCGACCTCCCCTTCTACGAGCACAACCTCTATGAGCTCATCCTGTGATAAGATCTCCAGCTTCTCTAGTTTACTGTCTCTGTTCGAGTCTCGGGGTAGTCTGCCTTCGGCCTTTTCTTCGTTCTTTGGGCTCCTGAGCTCTATAATTTGCCCTGATAACATTATTGGGCTTGTTGTATCCCTTAAAGTCCTCACCAACATGATTCACACAAGAAATTCTACTTTCATGCAGTAGGTTGAAATTGTTGCTTGAAAGGCATGCAAACTAGGTCACCCTAGGATAATTTTGTAGGCTAAGCTTATGTCTACCACAATAAATCTGATCAACCTTCATGTCATCAAAAGTAACTGCCCGAGCACAACTGTTAGGCACACCTCGTCCATTGGCTTGAATTCTCTTCCATTAAAATCGTATAGGGCTGTATCGATCGGCTCCACCTTTTTCTTAGGTCCATTTGGTCCAAACAATGGAGGAAGATTACGTCGGCTGAGCTGTCAATGTCCATCCTGGCCATTCGCACCACGTAGCTCTCAATTTCTGCAGTTATGACGATGGTATCGATGTGTGGGAGCAAAAAATCTACAATGTCTTCTGGTCTGAAACTTAGGGTAATAACATGTTGTTCATTGTAGAGTTCTGCAACCTCTTTGCGTCTGTTGTTGCGAACTTTCTGTTCTGGGGGATCTTTGTTTATGACATGGATTTCATTACCTTTTGATGTTTTTGTTGAAACTGCTGCCTTCATGGTTCCTGGTTTGTTTCTTGAATTGTATTTTGAATCATTGGGTTGTAGAATACCATTAGCCCCTTATAGCTGGTAAAAGACTGAGACTTCCCACATACGACACCAATTTGTTACGTCACTTTGAGTCATGAATAGATTGAACACCTTACACCTTGAACAACATCTTCCTTAAGCTCCTATAACCTACAATACACCGAGAGGGGGTCCTGGCAGAAGGCTCTCTGATGCTCAAGTCATAACTCGCTCTAACTGTATACTTCAAAATATATAAAATAAGGTGCAGAATGTGTGTTGTTCATGTCATCCTTATATATGGCTTGATACCTTAGGACTAAAGAGAGTTCTTGTTATGAAAGAGATCCAAACATATCATACTTCCCTAACTTACCACGTCTCTATCTTGGTAAGAGTCCTTGAGCGAGTGATTATTTCCTTATTTCTTAGATTCTTCCTCCCTTTAGTGTTTTAGCCCATGGACCATTAGGTCATGAATTCGACCTTCTGGCCTGTTTTCCATGGCCTTCCGAGGGCGTGCCTGACCTTGTATTGAGGTCTAGACCAATCTCGTCTTTAGGTCCATCATGTCCTCAGACCACTCGACCTTGATTCCTCGAGGTGGGTTACTTTGCCAGTATCTTGAGCTCGATACCTCTAGGTCATGTGTTTTCCTGTGGCTCGGTTGTTGGGTGTGCAAACCCAATCCCACATCGAAAAGTTAAAAAGTTCCAAGTCAATATATGAGCTTGGTGGGATACTCATTCTATTTCCAATTTGTTTTAGAATGGAACCTCATTGGGCTTGATCGAGATCTGGGCTTGAGTTGTGTTGGTCCTAACGGTATCAGAGCTTGACAAAGTTGTTGGTCCTAACAATTGGTATCATGATATAGCCCAGTTACGATGTGGATGACATGAAATTTTCCTCGTGGAGCCGGTAGACGACTAGAGAATCTGTGTGCCTTGTGTCGGAAGTC